GATTGTCGCGCGTCTCATCATCCAGCGGTCCGTTGAGCGCCATCTCAAGATAACTGCCAAAAGGTTAGTCATGCAATCCGTCGTCCAAGAAACCCACACACTTGATGATATGGTTCAGCGGCGTTCGAACTATTATCGAAAACATGAGGAATGATCACACGGAATACTCGGAGCACTTACCTTCATGCGACGCATTCGAGAGCAGCAAATTCGTAAGCCTCGTCGTCTGCAGAGCGTTCTCCTTCTGCCTCCAAACCTCGATGAACTACACGAAACACGATCAACGAATACTCGATGACACGTACCCAGACGCAGACGCAAACGCACCTTGCCATACACCAGTGCGAGCACGCCCGCCGTCTCAAGCTGCTCGTCCGTCCATGCGCGGCACCGCCCCGCGACTGTCTCGGACCACGTAGCAAACGACTTGCGCGGCTCGAGCACCGCGTCCTGGCTGTGCTTGGCGTTCGGGTTCCCCGCCCAGTGCACGTGCCGCGGCTGCCCCTTGCGCAGGAAGCAGATGAAGTCCTTGCCCTCGCTCGACAGCGGCACGTACAGCATCCCCGCGACGACCTCCAGCCCTGCCGTTAGCGTGAGGTCCTGGAAGTCCATCGTGACGCCTTGCGAGACCTGAATCGTGCTGTGCTTCCGGTTAGAAGGGGGGGGGGCAAGAAAAGGAAGAGCGGCACTGACGTGAACTGCTTCAGCCGCAGATACTCCGCCATAATGAGGATCTCCTGCCCATGCTCATTTGGCCCGAGCATCTTTGCAGCTTCCCCAATCTACAGAGACGAACAAACGGTATCTTTAGCTATCCCTTCGAGCTCAAAAAGCTACATACGACGAGCACCCCAAAGTCCGCGTCGAAAAGACCGAGAAGGTCATCAGCATTACTCACGATATAGCCCGTCTTGGTTAAAATTCGAAATGAGCCCCTATTCGACGCAACGGAGGAGTTTACACACCGGGTGGTTGTCCGACGCCACCGTGTTAATCTGCGCGTCCACGTCAATCCTGCACTGGTCCTGCACCAAGTGGGGGGGAGTACACACCAGTTTCCTTGTCGTGAGGCGCTGCGCATAGCTCAGGCGCTCAATGTTGCGCGATATCGACTGGCTGAGGAGGCGCAGCATCTGCCGCACGGGGAATGACACGCGCATTCCGTGGTCGCCGTACGAATGGCAAGTCACGAGCCCCCAGAGCTGGCCGAACGCCATAATCGACTGCGTACAATCAGCGCAGGGTTCAATAGGAAAAGCAGCAACGACACGCACAACAGACATCGAGGCGCGCACGCCCATGTTCTCTAGATCTGCAACCGCCAATCAGCCTCTTCAGCGCAAGAGAAATCGCGAAAAGGGCACATTTAACATGGATCGGGCTCATCGCGCGCAAATAGCAATGTGTCATGTTCTGTGTGTGTATCAGTAAGTTGCTACAGTCGCAGAATTCGACGGGGCGACGTCAGAGGCCGATAGGACGCACCAAAGGTGTCTTTAGGTCCTCCTCACTGCGCACTACGATCCGCGCGGTGTTCTGGGAGCGGTTGTAGAGTAGGCGGACTTTGTCTAGTTTGCGACGGCATCGTCAGTGTCGAGCCAGAAAGCACACAGCAGCCACGCACTGATCGCATACAACTGTCTTGCCTATCACCGCAACCAAGAATCAGACCTCTTTAGCACAAAACACAATGGCAACACTCACCTGTGCCGGAATATCGGTCGCTGGGAAATGCAGCCCCCGGTATAGGTCATGCGTCTTGCTCCAGTCGATGAGCTCCGCGACGACCTGGCCGTTCCACGCCTCGTCAAACTGGTACACCAGCACGCGGTGGAACTGCGACAGGTCCTTGATCACGCCGACGACGACTTGGAGGAACGCCGGGAGGTCCGGCGCGTCGCCGAGCTGCTCGTTGATCTGCGCCATGACGGCGAACACGTCCATCATGCCCACACCACCCCCCGTGCCCGCGCCGCCATGCCGCCGCGACCGCCGGCGCGCCGGCGTGGGGGAAAGCGCCTCGCCGCGCGCGATGCGGCGCAGGCGCTCCAGCGCAAGGAGGGGCTTTGCGCGCGAGGTCGTGCTCTCGAGGATGTCCTCCGCGCTGGGCGCCCATGTCGCAGAGGTGTCGCTCGTGTTATCCTCCTTGGACACGAGCTTGTCTCCCACCGCAAGCGTTTCGTGCTCCTCCCTTGGCTCAGTCTCGGGCAACACGAGCGGCGTTGGGTCCGCTCCGAACAGCGTCTGGTCCGAGTCGTCGGTCGACGACCCGCTATGCGACCCGCGACGGCCGCCCTTCTCGGTGCTCGGCGGGCTGCTCGCGTAACCAGCGGGCGTTGAAACTTGCGTGGCCCCGTCTTCCGGCGGGGTAGTGTACAGGGGGTTCAGCGTATCCCGCTCAAGCTCGAACTCCATGATGATGAGTCCATTCTCCGACCCACCAGCGGGATCAGAGGGCCGATGAACGGCGCACCAACACGTCCACGAGCGCCGCCCGGCGCTCGCCTCCATGTCACCTGGAGCGGCACTCCCTGGCGCGCCCCAGCCGGTGAGCAGGAACACATGCGGCGAGGCCTCCTCGTCTTGAGCGTTCATATCGGATTCCGAAAGAAACGCGATATTATCCCAGAGGGCGGTCGACTGGGAATCGGGGAGCGTGTCGGTGAAGCAGTCGAGAGAGAAAAGGTAACTCGGTGAGAGGCCGAGAATCTCTTCAGCGTTCTGGGCAAGAGGTCAGAGGCGAACAGGCGAATCTATAAACGCGCACCTCGGAGACCTGCCGAACCACAAGCGCATCCTCCAGCTCGTCGACAACGATCAAAACACCAAAACCTTGCACGGCACCCGGAGCACGAATGGGCTGAAAGGTTTGATCAGTTTTGTTGCAAGAGAATCAGTGGATAATAGCTAGGCGTACCTCGTCCTCGCAGCGGGAGAGTTTTCCCTCTCGGCCCACGATGATGTGGTGGCCGTGTTCGTCCTGAACATGTTCAAAGCGGACTGTGAGGAACTGGGAGACGTCGGTGGCGTCTGAGCCCGACATAGAGCCAGAGACACCTGAGGATAACGGGCGGGATACCGCGCGGGATGCGCCATTCGACAAGGACGAGCGGGAAGACCCTGAAGGCGGGAGTTCATCGGAAGTGGTCCCCGTGTGCGGAGAGGAGGTTCCAGAGTTGGTGCTGGATGGTCCTGTGATCGGTTGGCTGCCGTTCAACGAGGTGGGAGCGGTGAGGAAGCTCCCATCGCTCTGCGGGGGAGTGGGCGGGAGCGGGGGAAGATGCACGAGGCCCATTTGTGACGGGTTCCACGGCATGGGCGCGTCGAAGTCCGGTACTTCCTCTGGTGGAAGGGGGTCGTCGCTGACGGGGACCTGTTTAGGGCGCGCGCGAGGCTCTGGCGGTGGACCCTGGAGGGATCTGCGCGGTGGTGCGGGAGCAGCGACATCGGCTACCGAAGCAGACGCGGCAAAGCATGCGAGGGGATCAGGGGGCCAAAAGTTGTTGCTGGACGACGCAGTGAAAGTACGGCGCAAGTTGGGGGTCGACTCTTCGGCCGGGAAGTGTCGGAAGTTTGGCGACCCGATACTGGAGCGATGTCTGCGTCTGCGGGCTTTCGTTGGAGGAGGAGTTGGTGCTGGCGGGGTCGCTGAGGAGTCGGATGCGGATCTCCTGCGGCCCATGAAAGGTGGTTGTCCGCTTCTCTCCTTGTTCCAGGAGGCGACGAATGGATCACTTGTACCACTCGTGCGACGAGCAAGGATGTCTGCGATATCTGCCTCTGCGAGGCTAACGTTGCGCTGGGCGGGCTGGATGTTGCCGCTGAGGAGGGAGCGGACGGGGTATACATAAGACGTCGACGGCGCGAGTGTTGATTCGTTAACCGCCATGGCCCATGTAGATTCGAGACAGGCCCAGTCGAAGCAGCTGCAAGACCGTGGAATCCGCGATTAATATGACGTCATGTGATGAAAGCACCACCTCCTCATCACGATTGAGCCGGTGGGCACCAATTTCACATTAATTTTCTGCTCCACAAATACGTAATACCATCCTGGGCAGCACAATTGAATTGCCTTCAGGGGCTCCAGGACAAAAAACAAAAAGAAACAGTGCAACAACCACAAACAACAACCGCTCGCGACCCAAATAGGAAGTTCGCACAGATTAGTTCACCAGATCAGGTACGGTATTTATTCCGTTGTAGTCCTCCCATCTATTATTGCTCGTCTCTTGAGAGGTGTTTATAGTAGGAAGAAACGGCGGAGACTCTGGCTGGCCAAAGAGGCTCGACTCTCGTGTATATGACTCTATGGCTGTAGTTTAAAGTTTCAGAAGTCGATAAAACTAGCGCGTCGGTTGCGCGACACCAGAAAAGTTCGTTTTGGCGTGCTCTGATACCTGATGTCCTCGTAGCATGTTTTTCACTGTCTGCGAGCTGGAGGACCGATGCGAGGGGTCCACAGAGCTGTCGCAAGCAGATGGAGGCATACCCGAGACCAACAAGCCACCAGAGAGGCAGTTACCGGAGACATGCGCTGAACCTCGTGTATTAGCGATTAAGCGCTGCATTTCGACGCTCCAGGAAACCTAGCTTTGGGTAACGCCGCTGCGAGAATTGGCAGATGGCTGTCCAAAAATTCTTCAGTATAGGCAATTCCTACCGCCAGAACATGAGACAGGCCATGGCCGCGAAAGAAAAACCCGGTGAGTGGGATTCTTGTTCAATACTCCAACCTCTTTTATATAAATCTAGGCCAATTCTCTTTCTAGCAACCTCAAATCTCAATGTTGTGGCTGGTCAAGGCTTTCACAAATTTCCTGTATTTTCAGGAAGAATGATACATATTATTCCTAGCTTGAGCTTGGTAGCAGTCAGTAAGGTGGACGGACGAAAAGAAGTTCGTGCCCAGGATTTGATCACTTCTTGACTTAGCACTGGGATTTGACCCCGGGATCCGGTGCAGTGCAGGTGCAAAAACTAGGGACGCGAACCAAAAAGACCCTGGCCGGGATTTGAACCCGGGACCCCGCGCAGCGGATTACATAATCTCTTAGAGATCGGATTCAACCCAAAGCGCGTATCATTCTACTAGACCACCAGAGCGATGAAAGATGTAGGTTTTGGGGCGTAATTATTGAGGTTCGGAAATTCGGAGGTAATTTTTTTAGACTCTTCAAAACTATAGACTTTGACGCAGTTCATGATGCGAACAGCGGAGGCGAGACGCGCTGCCTCAGACCGGGGCCAGCACATGGCACAGAGCGGAAAAAATAGTGCAACAGAGCCTGAGGAGAGCTCCGTGGAAAATCATATAAAGACTCTTCATAGAACACTGTTTCAAGAGGCAGGGTGTAAATTCATGAGTTGATGAGTAAGGGCGAAGTGCCGCGTCGAAGCCAGCACACGGTAGTGCCAGAGTTAATACAATACAGAGCTTCATGGAATGCAATGTACGCGCAAAAGGCCATTGGATGTGTTCGAGCTGGATCGATGAGGTCATGCACCGTGAGGGGGGTCGCATGTACAGTAATCACAAGGATTTGGGGCACTGCAAGTGGGAAGGGTGGCCCGGGGCAGCGTGAATTGTCGCTCGGATGTCGCTCGTAGGATTAACCACGTCATCAGCTCCCAAAAAGAATACGGCAGCCAAGGTAGCTTAGGGAAAGACGGCGAAAGGAGGCGACTCGGAGATGATTGCGATCAAGAGCGAGACGACTCGGAGACTCGGACTCGGAGAGGCTGAGGAGGCGCCTCGCCGTACTTCAAGCTATTCTTTGACACAGCGACTTGAAGGCGACTTGACAGGAGCTTGTGGTTGAAAGAAGAGCTGAGCAAGGGCCAGGCAGCTTGCGGCTTCAGCTTCGCTTCATGAATGTTGAATTGAGCATGCGTCCGAGTCCAAGGCTTGATGGCAGTTGCCGGTACCTTCACGACGTGGCCAAATCGGGATTCGGAGCTATTCGGAGAGCAACTTGACTTGACAAAAGCGTTGACCATAGCTCGGATGTAGCACTCAAGCCCTCAACCTTCAACCTTCCAGCCTGCGGCCGCTGCGGTAACGTGCTGCTGACGCGGCATACGTGCTGCTGGCGCGGCATATTAAGACGGGAATCAGCGGTCATCGACCTCTTGACCCTCTCTCATCTCAGTCTCATGCCTCGAGGATTTTTCTCTATCGCTCGGACGGTTTTAACTGTTCTGGGGGTGCTGTATGGTGCTGCAATCGTGCTATTGACGATCCCATACGTTCAAACCCAGTTAGTCCCACGTTTGTAACCCTCGTAATGTTCGCTCACTCCAAGTGAAGCCTGCTCGTCAGTACTAGTTGACCCGGAGAGTCCATCCCTCGTTTTCTGAGTACTATTTTCAGTTCGTGCACGCGGTGAGGATACCATGGTCCTCCAATTACGACATGCCTGAGCGGTACGGACTGGCGCCCAATAAAACGATCAATCTGAGGGTGAACACGGCCGACAATGAATCTCTGGGCGCATGGTTTGTCCTCTCCGACCCGTTTTACCACTCCCTCCCCGCAATCCCATCTCAGCCGGCCGACCATATCCCTACCGCGCTGAAAACCCACCCCACCATTCTCTTCTTCCACGGCAACGCCGGCACCCGGGCGTTCCATGCCCGCATACAGCACTATACCGCCTTCTCGTCACGTCTTTCCGCCAATGTCCTCGCCGTAGACTACCGCGGCTTTGGTGACAGCACCGGGACGCCCACCGAGGCTGGGCTCGCGCGCGACGCCCGAGCTGCCTGGAACTGGCTAATCGCAAACGGAGCGACCGCGAACCAAATTCTCATTGTCGGGCACAGCCTCGGGACCGGCGTGTCTGTGCTTCTCAGCGCTGAACTTTCTGACGAAGGGATCGCTCCGAGAGGCGTTGTCCTCTTATCGCCCTTCTCCAGCGTCTCCAAGGTCCTGGAAACCTATAACATCCTTGGTGTTGTTCCCCTCATGAGGCCTTTGGCGATGATTCCCTGGGCTGCCAGTGCGTCTTTGTATCTTCTCGCGACTTGCGACTAATGGGGAATAGATATCGTCAAACGCGCCTTGATACACAAGTTCGAGACCGACATCTTGGTCCCTGTAGGTCCTTTCCTCTGTGTCGCGCCAATCTGCTGACGGTTGGTAACAGAGAATTAAGGGACCAGTCCTCATCGCCCACGCCGGTGAGTTTCATCCTGATTTCTGCGATCTTTATCTCAATGTAATTAGAGAACGACTGGGACATCCCCTACAGCCACTCCGAAGCTCTCTTCAACATGTTTCTCGAACCTCTCCTTCCACCCAGTACACCACTCCCCTCCAACGCCGTATCTCTGACCGAGGAAGAATGGGCCACATTCACGGCCCAGGCTGCCAAGCGCAAAGAGGCGCGCGCGGAGATCGTCACCACCGTCGCGCTCCATAACTTCGGCACAGTACACGAATTTACTGAGCCTGAGAGAAAGGTTATTTTCGTGCAGACATTGGCTGGTGGACACGACTACCTCGGAGTTCAAGAAGGGGTGCAGGACGTTATTGGCCGAACCTTTGGGCTGTTCGGGCGGTAGAGAAACTGTAGTGCATGTTCTATTACCTCCAATAATACTGTAACTATACCTTTGATCAACGAGAGACTCATTTTTGATGAGCTCATTCCGCGCTTTGATGGCGCTTTCGGTGTCCGTCGCTTATTCGTGCACTGATTTTATTCCGGTTATCGACGCGACCAGTCACAGGCCACTACGCTAAGATTGTTACGATTTTGAACACCGCCTATATCAAATGGGTGCGGCGGAATTCTAAGAGTGCCGGCAGTTCAGAATCGGTGTGCAAGAGAGCCAAGACCGTTAAGGAAGGGATGATGTGCAAGGGTGGGGTCGCTCCTCAGCCTGCGCCTGAGAAACCCAAGAAACGTCGTGGAGCAAAAGAGGGGGAAAAGAAGAACCCTAACTGCGTATTGTAGTATCAGTACCATGGCAGTGTACGCGCGTGAAAAAGAAACTAATGAGATGCATGATGACGAGCGAAGGAAAAACAATTGGGAGAAGGAAGGATTCAGGTCGGCCCCGATCGCTCATCGCAGGCAAGTATCAAAACAGAGACGGTGTCTTCTGGGTGTAGCTGGATGAAGTAACGAATAGAGCGGAGCAAGCCGAAATGCTACAGGGCCGACAAACAATTGCATGGAGTGCACCTATCCTCGCTACGTCTTATCTGAGTCTACGCAAAACTCCACAGGTCCGAAACGATGTCTCCCCCCGCTCCGTCCGTGTCACCTTCCCCCTTACCCCGGAATAAATCGACCTGCTTCCCTAGATCAACTGCCACCGGCGGCTCCTTCTTGATCTTCCGATTCGCATCCGCGTCGAACAGCTACCCGCCAAAAGCATAAGCACTCGACGCGCAGAAACGGCGACAGAAATGGAATGAAAATAAAACGCACCGTCCCGTACGTATGATCTAAAAAATCCTCCATCGCGTACCCGGGCTTCGTGAATGCCTCGGCGAAGATCCGGGTCAGCGTCGCCGCGCCCGCGAGGTAGTGCTCGCGGTGCGAGTTGAGCTCCCACAGCGAGCTCTCGATGGCGCGGCTCAGCAGCGGGTTCGGCTCCGCGGCGTCAAAGGGGTCCGTCGCGTCGCCGTCGGGGCGGTGGATCATGGCCATGAGCGCGGGGTGGCGTTTGAGTGTGTTATACGTGAATGGGATGATCATGATTATGGCCGCGGGGGGCGCAGACAGCGAGAGGCGCGCGAGCCGCTTGATGAAGGAGGCGAGCAGCGTCGCGGGGATATGGCTGGATACGCGCATCGGTGAGCAGGCGCGACGGGAAGATAGGGGGGGGGACAGACGTTGAAGAGAGGAACAGCTCGGTCAATCGGAAGAACCGGGCGCGGTGTTTTGAATGCAGCACATCTCGGTCGAGGAATGCGTACAGTTTCGTGTAGAACGAAGGGTAGTCTCTGAGAACACGGTTTGGATCCCGTTCACGTAATGTGGAGAAGGCTTACAAGTTGTACTCCTTCATCAATACAAAGAGGGCGTTGAGCGCAAGAAGCCCGACGGTTCCACCTAACGTGAACGATCAACACGGAATACAAAGAATGATAAAGCGACCACGAACCATGGTCTACGCTACCACCGACCCAGTCCATTATCAGCACGGGCCGTGTCAAGTGCGGCATGACACCGCGATGCATCACGTTAAGCGCCCGGAGCGAGAGGCTTTTGCTCGTTGCCACATCTCGCCCTGCGGAAAGTTTCGGCAGGAGGGCAAGCCACGCACGCGTGAAAACCGCGCGATGAGAAGGGAGCGAGTGTAATGACTGGTGGATCGTCAGTTTATGCAGCCTCGCAGTAGGCGTTTTGGGTTTATTCGCGTCTGGTGCTGGCTCGTCGTCGAAGAATTTGCGCCAGTCGTCGTCGTCTTGCCCCTCCTTGTCCGCCTCCTCATCCGATGACATGTCATCCGCGTTCGCGGAACCCTTCTTGGACGGTTTTGGCTTGGGTGGTTTGGTGCCCACTTCCGACACCCACCACGCGTTGAGCTCAGCCTTTTCCGTAGGAAAGGTATTGAGGCCCTCTAGAATAGTCAGGAGATTTGCGGGGAGGGTAGAAACAGAAGAAGCGTTTATTAACGACCTGCAAAAAGATGAGAGAATTGGCAATGGGTACAACAGAGAACGCACCCTGCTTCGCGAAGGAAAAACCACCGGACGTCATCATGCACACTGAACCACGTTTCGTGGAACAGCTGAAGGACGTCGGGATCAAGTATGCCCTGCGTGCTCTGCGTTGAGCGCGGAGAAGGGGGACATAGCAGCAAGGCCGAAACGATCTTCCGGAAATGGGAGATGTGGAATTGAGGTTGAGAGTCTGACAAGCTCGCGGAAGTCGACAGATGTTTTTGAAGGGAAAATAATATTTGCAACGCAGATATCTACACGGAGGGTGACATGAGTGCCGACCAAGATAAGCAGAGGAGAAATTACACGCAGTGGTTTTTCATCGTCCTTCAGCAGGCCACAAAGGAAATCCACATAGGAATTCAGCCTGTCCCATATCCACGCCTTGACGACCTTTGCGGCTTCCTCGCCACCCGGGCCCAGC